TGCATAATGTGGCCGGAGCGTGGCAGGGACACGGGGACTCTCTGTGGGGACACTCCGTGGTGGCAGGGGGGACACTCCTGGTATTTGGCAGCTCAGCTTTGCCCTGCGTGCCGTCGTTCCCAACACCAGCTTTTCCGTGTGAGCACTCCCACAGCCTGTGGAGGTACATGGAAAATGAAAAGCCTGCATGGTGGCGATATTCCTGTGATGCCAGATCCTCAGATTTAATTGAGGGGAAAAAAGTAGTTAATTTCCAGTGCTTGGCGTGGGCTCTGAAGTCGAGCCGAGTGCCGGGCAGGCGCTGGTTCCTGCTGGCACATCCTGGGAAGGATGTTCTGTGTGTGTTTGGATACGGTGTGTGCACAGCAGAGCCCGGGCTGTGGGAAGCACTGCCACGGCAGCGCCCTGCAAGGTGCCACATGGAGCGAAAATCCTGGGAGGTTTGCCCCAATTTTCCCATTTCCTCCCTTACCCATTGCACTTGGAATCTGTTGGGTTGATGCACCCGGGTCAGGTGGGAAGGAGGTGGCTGGTGGAGCAGTTTTGGGAATCCCAGGGCTTGGCTCTGTGAACCTGTCATGCTCCAAACCTGCTGGATGGGTGGACCAGGGTTAGACAGGGAGGAATGTGCCCAGTGGAGAAGTTTTGGGAATCCCAGGGCTTGGCTCTGTGAATACCTCGGAAAGCCTTGAGGCTCCAGCTTTTTTTCCATGGGCTCAAAGCTCCCTGTGGCTCTGCACCAGCTGCTGCTCTCCACAGCTGCTTGGGAAGATGAAATGAGACCCTGTTTTTAGAGGTCATGGAAGAGAGCACAGATCTTTTCTTGTGTGGGAGGCTGTGGGAATGCTGGAGTAGGAGCATGGATGAGCACTGAAGCCATCCTACATGGCACTGTGTGAGCCTCCCCAGCAACTCTGTGTGTGGAGAGGATGGATGGGGGTGGGGGAGCCTGGGGGGTCAGTACCCTGCCACCAGGAGCCCCCCCCAGTCCAATGGGGTGCCACCAGCACAGCCAGTTTGTCCATAACCCCTGGCATTGACAAAATTGATATTTTGTGGTTTGAGAGCAGCAGGACAGATTTCATCTCTGGTGGGTCTCCTGACACTTTGATACATGGCAGTGCTATCCCTGAATGGAGCTAAATACTCCAGGGCTGCTTCCTGGCTGGGTGGAGGGATGTATAAAATGAGAATGTGTGAGGGAGTATTAACAGAAAGGCACACTTTGATTTACTGGTGCTGGCTCCCAGCTTTCCTGGTGGATTGATATGCTGCCTGCTGGATCTGGAACAACTTTTTCACTCCTGTACACAAAATGAAGGGGCTCCTGTGGACTCTCAAAAGTGACTCTTACAAGTTAGTGTCTCCCCACAGACACTCTGAGTGCCATTTCAGCTGGAAGTTTTATTCAAACCACATTTGTTGTGTTCTTGGGGCAGCTGCAGATGGATCCCACTCACCATCCTTTTTTCTTTCCCAAAGGGCAGCTTTAGGAAAGGTTTGATGGAAGGAGGGGTTGTGTCTTGTCCTGGGCTTAGTTGGCCTCCCCTACACGCAGAGTTTGACTTGTCTGGGGGGATTTTTGATGCCATAAAGGGATCAGATTCCTTAGTTTTTAAGGCAGTGCTGAGTCACCTGCCCTCAAAGACCACAGGTTGGATATGCAGAAGTAACTCCTGGAAAAGGAGATATAGTTTTGAGATCTTGCTCACTGATGATTTATGGGCCAGTGTTAAAGGTGTCAGTTGTGACACTGGTGTCAAATGTATAAAGTGGAATATTTACCCCAGCACATTGGAGAGCAGGTTATAAGGGATGCAGCAAAGCTGCCAGCACAGAGTGGGAGAGAAGAAGGGGTGGGAGAGGCAGCAGCTGGGGTGAACTGTGCCAGCAAAGTTGGGTCGGGAGAGTTTTGCATTCCACAGTTTCCAGCTGCTTTCACAGTGCTGTGTCTGCAGTCACTGACCCTGTCCCAGGCACTGTGCTGGGAAGAGCAGCTGGGAATAAGCTGCTGGCATCAGAATCAGGGGGGAGTAGTGGGAGGGTGGTTGTGGAGTTAACAGCATTGTTTCATCCTTGGCCAGTTTGTGTCGATACCTTCTTGGTCCTGAGAGCTTTATAAACAAAACCATCCGGGACTGCCCAGGACCTACCACAGGTCATGGCAGTGACATCCCTGCTCCATGGCCAGGGCTGGCATTGCCTGTCCCTGAGAGGTGCCACTGGCTTTGTTCTGTGAATGGAGCAGGAGGGGCAGACCTGATGGTTATCACACCTGAAAGCTGCGAGCTGGTTGCCTTCATGTACTGGGGCGTTTGAAAGCTCAGTGTTTGTGGCTGTTTTCTGTTTAATTGTGTGTTTCAGACAAGGAGCAGCATAACAGAAAATGTGCTGGGGGGGCAGGCAGGGAGAGCAGGAGGGTCAGTGTCCAGCTGCCTTTCAAAATGGCACAGTTTGCAGCCCTGAAACAGTTCTGTTTTGTGCTGCCTTCGTTCACAAATGGGTTCAGACTCGTCCCCAAAGCAGTGGTGTAAAGGCAGACAAGGGCATTAGAGGGAAGAGAAGATGAAGAGGAGACTGGGAAGAAAACAGTCCCTTCTGGAATTAAACATGAAATGGATAGGGCAGGGCTGGATGGGAAGGGAGCAGGGTGACACTTGGCTTCTGAAGTTGAGTTTACAGCACACTTAAGCAGCCAACAGGAACAATGAGAATGCCATCCAGTAATGCTATTAAATACACAAGAACTGAAAACACGGAAATTACCCAGCTGTAAGAGGCTCGTGATGAAGCCACTGCCTGGAATAATTAGCCCTCCCACCTGGTTAGACGCACAGTCATTGTCTTCCCTGCCCTCTCCATCCCCTTCACTCCAAATAAAATTGCTCCCCATCCCCACTTCTGTTGGGGTCCATATCTCAGAGCCTGGGGGAGCTTGAGCCTGTCTTTATTTCCTTGCCTGCTCGCCGTGGCCCTGCTATACCCCAGAAGAGCTGGAGTGCTACTCCAGTTGTAATTGCCAGGATCAAAGCTGCCTGGGGTGCATTAGCACTGCTGCTGGAGGAGAGGCAGCGGGGAGAAAATAAACAGTTTCGGAAGCTCTGGGGACATTTAGCTGCGTTGCAGGCAGTGGGAAGGATTTTGCTGGTGTAAGCTGTGCACTCGGGCTGGGGTGGGGGCACTTTGCTTTTGCAGGCGATGCTTTAGCTGCAGACACACACAACAAATGCATTTTTTAAGGGCTTTTGTCTTGTTTGTCTCGTGGAATTGTTTTGATGCTAACACACGTCTGATTTACAAGTGCAGCAAACCTAATCCGTTAATAGGTTTATAGAGAGGAGTTGTCAGAACGTATCTATAATGAACCCCGGGCTCGGGGAGGATGAATCCAACATCTGATCTGCAACAAAAATCTTAAAGCATCTTCTCCTTGACATTCCTGTTACTGAGGTCAGGCCGTAATTTATCTGAAGATGGTGACAACTGAGCAATATCGCAGTGGTAACACGCGGGAGATTGAGACCTCTGAGTGTCTGGGCTGATTTCTGCTGGCACTGTCTCTGTCTGGCTGAGGAAGATTTGCTGTTCGCTCTACCCATGATCTCTGTGTCCCCCATTAAAAAAAAAAAAAAAGGAAATCAAGAAAAAAAATCGAGTGGTGAAAAGTTCTCTCTGTTCTTTTGTGCTGAATACAAAGAGGGAGGTTTGGGAGTTAAGCAGAGCGGCCCCACTGGTTTCATGGCCCAGGGGGAGCTCTGGGGAGGTTCCACCTCCTGCCCTCCACACAAATCCACGGGCTCTGCCAGGCAGAAGGAGTTCAGTTTAGGTTTTTTGAGGTAGAAGTGTGCCAAGTGCTTTACCTGGGAGAGCTGACCCTGGGATTGATGTGTGGCCATGTGCAAAGGCAGAGTTTGTGTCGGCCCAGGCAAACACTTGTTTTCTATCGGGGAGTTCTGCAGGGAGGCTTGTTGGTTGCCACAAAAGAACTATTTTTAAAGAACAGATGCTGTGACAGTGTGCAGTTAACCTGTCCCTTGGTCAGCTGCAACTCTGTGTCCTTGGAGAACATACAGTCATCGGAACAGACATTGTTTTCTCTCCATCTGCGTGGATACAGGAAAATTGTCAGCTGCAAAAGCCTTTGGATACCCAGCATCAGATCTGCATTCAGGATTTGTGTGGGAACACCCTGGAGTGCAACTGCTCATCCCTGTAAAACTCACCTGTGTTGATCATTTTGCACCTCTCCACACCAATCTTTTCTTCACTTTTTTTTCCTGAGGTTATCTGGGCCATCAGTTCTACGTTTTAGGTCAGGATCTTCCTGTTAAATTTGCCAGGTTGTTGTTTAAGTTTCCCCCACAGTTCATATCTTGCTACACTTAATTTTACTTGTGATCCAAGTTCTCCTACCTCCTGTGTGGTGAGCACAGCGATGGTCACAGCCCTGCAGGAGTTTGGGGTTTGGTTTTTCTTCTTACAACATGCACATCATGTACAAGAAGGGAAAGTCAGAGGTCAGTGTGAAGGGCCTGTATATATGTGCATTTTCCCTTGTGTCATATTATTTGAGTCTGGCTTGTGCTGCAGAACTTAACACAGGAGAGAAACGAGTGAGTCAGCAAAAAGATTGTTGTCACATGTGTGTTGCTTCTTTAGGATGTTAATCCTTCAGGCTCTGCAGTGGGAATGTTTGTGGATGAAACATTAGATCAGTACACTCCCAGTGTGCAGCCAGGCAGATGTTTAGAAGGCAGTTCTGCCTCCTTTCCTCCCTTCTTAGCAAAGAAATGTTCTCCCCCAGCGTGTTGGTGTTTGGCATTAACAGCCATAAATCAGTTTGGAGATAAAACCACATCTCTAACTGATTACAGACAAACAGTTCATGGGACAAGCGGTGGCTGCAGCAGAAATTCTGATTCAAGATGAGAAACTGAGCACTGCAAAGCTGAGTGTTCACCAGGAGCAAGAAATTGTCACTTGTGTCTCTTGCTCTGCAGGTTGTAAAACTCTGGAGGCCTTGCTGAAAGTACTGGTGGAGCTTCAGGACGAGCTGCTCTATCAGTACCCAGGCACGAAGCACCTGGTCGATGGAAAGCAAGCAAAAGCTGAGAGGTAAATACAAAAAAAAGATATTTTTGAATCTTTCTGAATCCTTTGTCTCCAAGAAACAGGACAGTGCACAGCCTTCCTGAGCACCCTCACTCTGCTGTTCTCTCAGGTGACACATACTCTGGACAAATTTGAATTCCTTCTGCCTCGTGGGAAGTCTGTTGTGTAGTTTTTCTGATAATGGAGCAGGGGCTAAACTGTGGGTCTTGTGCCAAAAACACCACCCTGGTGTGGAAAAAGCTGGTGGTGGAGGGGCCACTGAGAATTCACACGCTGCCTTAGAGGGGTGAAGGGTGTTCAGCCTGTGTGTTTTGTTCTAGTGATGATGAAATCCCAAGCAGTAGCGATGAGGAGCAGGTGGATAAGGCCCAGGAGAAGAGGAGGAGCCTCCCCAAGCGAAAGCTGAAGTTTGAGGACTACCCCGAGTTCGTGGCCAAGCGCTACGCGGAGCTCAGGCCCTACCGGAACAGCGTCCTGCAGAAGTGGCACGACAAGACAAAGGTGGCAACTGGCAAAATGGGAAAGGCAAGTCTTGGCTCGTGTGTGCTGACATGCTTTTGTTTAGCAGAGGTTTGGGGAACAAGTGCAAACTGAAAGAGAGGAAACCTAGGTTTGAGATATGGAAGAAATCCCTCCCTGTGAGGGTGGGCAGGCCCTGGCACAGGTTGCCCAGGGAAGCTGTGGCTGCCCCATCCCTGCAAGTGTCCAAGGCCAGGTTAGACGGGGCTTGGAGCAACCTGGGCTAGTGGAAGGTGTCCCTGCCCATGGCAGGGGGTGGAAGGAGGTGAGCTTTAAGGTCCCTTCCAATCCAAACCGCTCCATGATTCTATGACTCTTAAGTTTATTTGGAAGTTTCATATCATGGATGTTCCAAGTTAGGCTGAGAGGTAAAGCAGCAAGAACTAAATACACCAGCACACACTTTTCCCCAGCCTCAGAGGAGTTTGCAAAGAAGCTGAGCCCTCACATATCAAAGGCAAAAGCCTTTTGTTTTGAGCAGGCAGGCAGAAATAACCTTTTCAGGGACAAACGTTTTCCCAAGTTTGGGGAAAAACTCTTGGTTGGTGTTGGTTCTCCCGACCAGACATCTCATCACAGCCAGTCTCCAGCAGCAAATAAGCTCTATGAAAATGCCACTGTTACTGATCTCCAGGCTGTTTATGGTTTCTAGCAGAACTGGGGCCTTTTGTGGCTCTCCTCCTCCATGGAGTGTACATTTAATACAATGGGTAATCATTTCACCCGGAGATCCAGGGTCTCCTCACATCTCTGAGTTAGTATTAATCATTGAGAAGTTAATCTGAACCAGAACAGCAAAGGCATTTTATTAAGCCGGGCGTCAAGTTGCCTCAGGTTGGGAAGGGAGAGCGAGGGAGAAACAAATAAAAAATCCTAACAGAAATCCCTGCGACGCAACCCAAAACCCCCTCCTCCTGGAACGCTGTCTGCTTATCCGCTGACATGGAAAGATAGGGGAACATTGCTGCCTTGAGGAAAGGCTTTCTGCATTATCTGACACTGGTTAATGCCGTTGCAGGGTTTCGGTGCCTTCGAGCGCTCCATCCTGGCTCAGATTGATCACATCCTGATGGACAAGGAGAGATTGCTCCGGCGCACCCAGACCAGGCGCTCCGTGTACGCCGTGCTGGGCAAGCAGGAGCCGCAGCCCCCGCCGGCCCCTCAGCCCGGGCCGGACCACTCGGTAAGGGGACCTCGCTGCTGGGGCTTACCCTTGGTGAGAGATTTATGGAGGAGGCACCTGAGGGTTGGTTCCTGCGGTGTAACCACCTGAGTATTGGTTCCTGCGTTTCAATTCCGGTTTTGTGGTGTTTGCGTTACCTCCTGTCCCGGTTCTCGGCAAGGTCTGGGCTGGGATTGTGCCCCTCCTGTGCTGGAGGAAGTGGGGCTCACTAAATCTGCTTTTTGAGGCTACAAAACTTGTTTTTTACGCTGCAGTTTAGAGTCTTTAACCCAGAAAGTCACTTCCAAAATTGTACTGCATCTAACCTACAGAATACATTAGTGGTAAGTCCATTATTAATTTAGTATTTAAGAATGAATAAATACTCAATTCTGAGAGATCAGGTAGAATTACTGCACTTGCAAGATGTATTTTTGCCATTACATTAAAAATATCTGTAGTATTTTGCCAGAAAGACTTTGCAGAGTCCTATTTATTTCCCAGTAAAGGTATCATAAATCTCTTTTGGCATTGGCAACATTTCTGCCTTACCTTTGAATGTATTCCTAGTCCTTAAAAGCTTGTTATGTTGGGAGTTTCTCTCCATTCCTTCATATCATCGAGTGTGTTTACAAGCTGCTCACGTGATGTTGTTGGAGTTAGGGACAGAAATATCCACATATGGGCTTTCAGTATTTCCTTTGTGCTTCCAGGAAGTGCTCCCTCCCTCAGATTCCAACAGACACCTGAAGGACATAGATGAGGAGATATTTGATGATGATGACTTTTACCACCAGGTAGGTGATGGTAAATGTGTGGAATTATTCCTCCAGTTGGTTTTTAATGCAGTTGGTTCTGTGCTCTGTATTTCTTGCACTTGTGAAACTCAGTTACCTGTTTTAACACCCAAAATCTCCAGATACCTCAGGGGACTTTGCTCTCAATTTTTGTTGTAGGGGGCTGCACAGTGGATGTAAACTCACTGCCCTCCTGGCACTGCTGCCCTGGGGCTGTCAGGGCTGCAGGGTGAGTCTGTCTGTGCCTGTTGTTCTCCTGCACAAGAGGAAAAAAATCCCTGAATTCCCTGAAGGTGACTGTTCTCCGTGGGCAGAGTCCCAGTATGAAGAACAATCGTAGTAGACCCTCAAAAGCACTGAAGTTACTCCTGTTACTTCAGATGAATGGGAAAACTGCAGGGCTTCTCTGGCACTTCTCCTGGAGTCATTCCAGCTTGGATCCGGGCCAGTCGCTCTTTTTATTTGCAAAATTCTTAGAAACAAGGAATCTGCACCCAGTGCACGGAAACCTTGTGTTTGTAGCTTATTTAATAAAGACAGCGCCAGCTTTGTGAAAAATGGAAATGGTCACATATTGAGGAACACGTCGCTGTAATTCCTCCCCCAGGGCACGAAAACCTGGGCCTGCTTTGGTGATCCACAGAGAGCTTGAACTTCAGGACTAGACAAATATCATGGTATCATTAGAAAGGCAGAAATTTTTGATCTGAATAGATCTGAATAGTACAGCATTCCAAGCTATAGCTCCTCTCCAGGCTCTGTATCTCCACTGCTGTGGGCTGAGCAGCATCTCTGGGGCAGGGGAGGGTGCCAGGCCCCCCTGTGTAGGCTCTAAATGGTGATCAGAGAGTGCCTGTCTTGCTGGGACCAGGGATTGAAAGAGCCAAATCTGTGAGGTGGAATCTGGGGGGCAGCTGGACCCTAAGAATGCAAAACAAATTCAGTCAGCGTAACAAAATCTTGGAGTGGTCAAGGAGAAACAGCTGAGATTGACAATCTGTGGACCTGTGCAGAGAAGGTGCTTATTGGCCACGAAATGTTAAATTTTTAAAAGAAAAATAGCAATAGATGGATGGCCCAGTCTTCCCTTCTAATAACTTTAACTCCGATAAATCGTGATTTCAGAAATATGACTAGTCCCAGCTTAGCTTTTCCCCTCGCTGGTTAATTGGGGTGCTGGGGTTAATCTAAATTAAAACTTAAACTAATAGAGGTCATTGAGGGAAGAGAATCACCTGAGTAAAACAAATGGGTCTGCCAGGCACAACTGTATCTTGACCATTTCCCAAGAGGGAAGTGGCAGCAAATTGGAGGTGTTTCAGCGCTCGGCGGAGGTGAAGGATGGGTGACACGGGTTTAATGCGCGGCACCTCCGGAAGCGTTCCAGATTGCATTCCCGGCTCTACCAACTGCTCCTGCAAAGGAGCAGGACCGGCCAGCAACATCTGGCGGCACAGCGAGGGATGGGTGCAACTTTGGGAACCCCATAGACTCTAAATATGGTGCTTAGCCTGGTGCAGGCTTTAATCACTTGCCACTCCTTGGCAGCGGGCTCCGACAGCTTATCCCGGCCTCGTACATCACGCACAGACATCTGCTGAGCCGCCAGGCAGCCACACATCCATTTTCCCTTCTTGCTTGGGGTTTTTTTATATCCCTCCCTCCTTCTCTTCCTCTCTCCCTCCCTTCCACCCTTCCTCTCCCCTCCCATCCCCGCCGTGCTTCCTGGGAGAGATGATCCGTACAGATTCCCGGTGGCTGTGGGGATGCAGCCCCGCCACACAGCACCTGTTCGACTGACCTGGTTAATGTCCCGTGTTCAGTGGGATTTGGCAGAGCTTGGAGCTGAGGCCAGTTCGGTGCTAAGGCTGGAGAAAATGGCTGTATGTTTTCTGTCACCTCCCAATTAAAGTGGATTCATAAAGTGCTTTCCTTTATTTGTCAGGGCGCTAAGCCGGAGCTGAAGGCGCCATTCAGAGAGGGGAGAGCGCAGCACAATAGAGCTGACAAGGCCCTGAATGGCTTTGCTTTCACGTGGGTCATAACTGTGCAGTGCTTTTGTGTGTGTGTGTGTGAGATTGCATGTGTGGGTATAAATAAAATGTAGGAAAGGAGCTGCTTCTTCAGGAGTGCTCAGCAGCAGCGCTGGTTGTTGGAGCTGAGGGTGCTCCCAACCTCTGGCCTCTGTGCATTACACTGATTGCAGGGTGCATTTCAATACCTGCTCTTTCCTTCCTGTTTAAATCTACATCCAGACTTTTTCCTCTTTTTTTTTGGGGGGGGGGGATATCCCTTTCATTTTTCTAAATAACATTTTGTAATTATTAATTTTTTTTGATCACTGCTTAAAAGGTAAACATTCAGATAAAGAATAGCATTGGAAACCAACTTCCTCTTTGTGTCAGTGGGAAATTAGGCAAGTAAAAATGAACAAGAGCTGATGAATGTGCACAAGTTAATGATAACAGAATAAGTAGCTATACTGTTTTATAATAGATTATAATACAAAATTCGTTAATGAATATGTTTTTCTTGTGGAAAAACAATTTTCTTGTCCAGGTCTTGTATTCAGTAGAATTCAAGCAGGTATGTCTGGTGGACTTTTTTGATGATTCAGGACTTAACTGTATTCTGTCTGTTCATCCCACTTTGCCTTTTCTCCTATTCTTCACTTGTTTTATGAGCAAAGACAACATTTTTATTGTAGTGCCCCTGTTGAACAGGGATGGAAAGCTGAACTGAATTATGCAAGTGAAATATTTTTATCTGGGTTGCACTGAGTGGGAATAGTTAAACTGTTTCAGAAGGATCCTCATCACTGTCTGGAGCCCAGTTCCTTTTCTTTTAAAGTCTCCTTCATACATGGTTTTAAGGGAAGAAAAAGGCTTTTTATTTTTAGAAGTCATATTTACGTAGAATTCATTACAGCTGATATTGCAGCATTAAGACTTAAAATTCCAGCCTGCTACCAGGGAGCTGCTGGTCTGACATGCTACAGTGGAGATTTTATTATTAGGTTGAAATACTCCTCTGGTAAAGGAGAGAGTGGAAATTGCTTTATTTCCAACAGGAATTAGGTTAGTGTTCATATGCTAAGTGTTCCACTGGTAGCAGCTCTTCCCAGAACAAATGTTCATCATTGATGGCAGCAGGTATGCCTAAGGAGAATTGGGAATATACATAATTCCTTTCTTTCCCTGCTCTCCTGCTCCCTCCTCCCCTGGTTTTGGTTATGGTTATGGAAGGGACCTTAAAGACCATCCAGTTCCAACCCCCTGCCACGGGCAGGGACACCTTCCACTGGAGGGTTTCCCCAGCTTTAATCTGAGTAACACCAAATAAACCTGCACATCCCAACCTCTTGCTAAGATACTTCCAGACCAATTTGTTTCTGTTCTGAGTCGTACTTTTATCTAAATCCCGTTGTGTGGTTCCTTAAATCCCACTGTATCACTCTTTAAATCCCACTGTGTGGCTCTTCAGGAAACTTTGCCTGATGGGGTAAATTTCCCCTTGTGTCTCAAGCAGTTTCCTGGGCCCGTTTCCTCTCCCAGGGATTTGATAATGCCATAAACAAGTAATTACTAATCCAGTGAACTATTAAAAGTCGATAATGGTGAGGAATAGAGAGAAGACTGGCTTTGTGACAAGCTGGTTTACCTTAATTAAACCGGTGAGTGATTAATATGGACAGCTGATCTTGTGGCTTTAATTAGATGCATTTAGAGTTTTGTGTGAATAAGAGATGTCTCGAACCATCCCACAGGTTAATGGCAATACAATACTCTTATCACAGGCATGTATCTTTCAAATGGCTGGGTAGATGGTTAATAACACGTTTTAAAGCTTGATTTGGAACTTCTCTTAATGGGTTATTAGAAAATAGGCAAGTCTGTGCATCTTACACAAACCTGAATTTGAATAAAATGGTTTTTTTAATGAGAGACTGTCCACTGATTTCGTCTTGCAAGTTAAGTTTTTGTGCATAGCTTTCAGAAAAATAGATTTTAAAAAGTGTTTCAAGGGGATTTAAAGTAATATTTGAGCTGCAGTCTTAAATTTTCCCTGGTGTTGGTAGGAATCCAAATGGTTTTACACTGCTCCTGAGTGGGGCTTGAAAGGAGAAAAGGAACAGCTTGTTTTGTACATCCAGGCAGAACTGAGGGCACAATGAGTGAGTCCTGGGCTAGAAACAGCCTCCATGATTTATGCTGTAGTTGCAGGATAAATTCACATGATTCACCATGTCTCTTCGAGGACTAGAGCAGGAAAAAGTTAGATTGGACAGTAATGAAAATACATTGATAAAATGCAGCTTTGACAACTTTCTGTTCAGGAGTGACTTTGCATTTTCACCAGGAGAGAGGAAAAGCATTTGGTGGTGCACATCTTTTCTTGGACTCAACAAACTGCATATAGCTTCTCTCTTTTTATTTCCTACAGTGATTTTGTTAAAAAAACTGCTTTTTAAACTGTTAGAAAAGACTTGCCCACCACAGTAGTTGTGCATTCACTGTCTCTAGCAACAAACACACATTTAGCTAGAAAAGTCCACATAACCATTTGCAAATATTTCAGAGATCCTCACTAATAAAGTGAATATATTTTTTTTTAGGACTGACAGAGTGTTCTAGTAAAGTTAAGCAGCTGCTGGTAAGCCCAAGTCTGGGTTTCTCCCATTTTTCTCATTGTTTCAGAATCCACAGACAGTGGAGTCTTTCTGTGTTTCTGTTGCTTCCAGCAGACGACTGAGCTGGCAGAAGCAGCCCAGGGCTCTCCTTTTGCATTGTGTGCAGCTGTTTCCAAATGCACATTGTCAGACCTGTGTGACATTATTATTATTATTATTGACTCAGGGACCCTGGCAGAGCTGTGCTCACCTCTGGGCACACCTGACTCGGGGAATTCAAAGGCACCAGTGCCACTTGCAAGACAGAGCAGGTGCCTTTGATGCACTGTGGCACAAGTGACCCGTGCCTTGCCTGGCTTTTCTGAAGGTCTTAATAACACCAGAGAAAAATCAGTCCTTTTGTTCCAATTTTATATCTAAGCTTTGTAAACTCAAACCTTTGATATACTACAGATGGACTTTCTTTTTTTTAAATTTGATTTGCTCTGTAAGGTCTAAGACAAGTGAGCCTTTTGTCAGGATTTCAGCCATCCTTGTCTCTTTGTCTCAACTGGAAATTCTTAGGGGTCTGCAAATCAGAAAGGTCAGTGACTGTAGTATTAGAAACTCTGATAGATAGTGCATGAAAATGAGACCTAACCTCTAAAATGAAAATTGACCTCTAAAATGAGAAATGAATCTCTATTACCCTTGAACAACACCCTGATGGCATTTCTAAATCCCTCTAATTTCGTGCAGTGTACTCTGTGTGCATCTCTTTAACTGCTGTGGAGAGGGAGCCCTTTAAGGTGAATTCTTGAGAAAGCACTTCCTCACTCCGCTGTGGATTTTGGCTTTGGGGGCAACCAGGGCAGGTGAATACTGATGGCTCTGGAAGCTCTTGGACTTGTTCTTGTGAGAACACTGTGAGTAGCTGTGGATTGTCAGCTCTGGGGTGCTCAGGACACAGGACTGTCAGCTCCCAGCCTGTGGGTCTGGGCAAACCACACCACCATCCCCAAACCACACCAAACCACCTCCACAGGCTTTTCTTCCCCCCTGTGGTTGGTAGTGCCTGGTTCTGCCTGGGGAGTGGTTGGGGTGGTTTTGTTGGCTGTGGAGTTCAGAAGCAGGCATGTGAGGAGCTCTCTTGGCAAACATCACCCCTTCCTTCCCGAGAAAACCAGACTGGGATTAGCAGCTTCCTTCTGCTCCACGTAGCCCAGCAGTTCGTCCTTCTGGTTCCAGCTTTCAGTAGGAGCAGCTCAGAGTTGGCAGCTGAGCTGCTGGACGTGGCTGTGCTGCCTTGCAGTTGTGTTTGCTTCCATGGGAGACTGAGCTGAGTGAGGGTTTCGAAGTTCAGGGAAGATGTGAAGGAGGGAAAGCAAAATAGGATCTGTTTCAAATCAAAGCCCTGTGATGCCGAAATTGCCTAACTCAGACTCAGTCTTCACACATCAGGGCTTAACGCTGATGGTGATTTACTTACACTTCCTAGTTAATAATTAGACATTGGGAGACACCATATATCATTCCTAATGGAATATATGGGGTCTGATGAGAGTTTTCTGTTTTGACTAATAAATTCTAACCAGAATCGCCGAGCTTAATGAAATACTGCGGCTTTGGAAGTGTTTTAAGTCTTGTGCTGGGAAAACAGTGTGGCTTTATTCAGTAAATGAATTTATCATTCCCTCTGTGTCCCGAGCCCTGGCTGGCTCTGGAGCAGGGGCTGAATGCTACACTCTGAACTAGAAAGCGGAAAACTAATCAAATCCTTAAAGACCAAAGGCAGCGAGGCCTGGGCTGACTTTTTCACTGGTAGCCTCTGGCTACATCCACTTTTATTTTAGTAACCATTGTTAGCATGATTTATAACTTCAGCTCCAGACACATGCTGTTTAGATGTAACAAGATGCTTTGCAGCTTTTCTTACTGTTTCCTAATTTCCCTCTTGCTCCTGCTTTATTTTACTTCTCCCTCGCCTTTGTCTCCCTCTGCTCTTCCCAGCAGTGTGCCCAGTCCTGCAGTTGACACTGTTGTGGAAGAACATTTGGAACAGTGGAAGACCTTGTCAGTGCCAGGGTCAAGAAAACCAGTACAGGAACCTGCCCAAAAAATGCACCTTGGAGGTCATGGAATGGTTTGGGTTGGAAGGGACCTTAAAGACCATCCAGTTCCACCCCTGCCATGGGCAGGGACACCTTCTACTGGTCTGTGAATTTATGGGCCACCAGGAAGAGCAAGTCCTTCTGGGAATGTCCTGCTGCTCAGTTCTCTGGAAGCATGGGATGTCTGTGTGTGACCATCTCCACGTGTGCCTTCTCTGCTCAGCTGTTTTCGCTGTGCCTCGTGCCAGGGAACGAGATAAGAGGAGACAGTAAACAACACCTTATTGCAGGAACAGGAAGAAACCACTAAAACCTCTCTGCACCACTTCTCACTGCTGTTCCAACCCTCCCTCCCACCTTGCTTTTGACAGAATATTGACTAGAAACCAAGATCCCATTTCTGCTTAGCCTTAAGGGCAGCTGTTTACAGAGTGGCGGTGTTACACAGGTTTACTGTGTCGTATGTCTGTGTAACACTGGATTTGGATCTTGTATTTAGCTGCCAGAAGTGACTGTGATGAAGTGGGAGAGATAAACTGATAGATTGTGTGCCAGAAAGATGTTGGGAATCAATCAGATAAACAGGGCAGAGAAGTAGCTTGCTGTTTTCTAGTGATAATAAACCAGTGGCCTCTCTCCTGGAATTTTTTAATGTAATTGCTGCAGTAATGATCTCCAAAAATAAGCAAATAGAAAAAAAAAAAAAAAGTAGTGGCAGGTTTTTAATTATGTTTGAATCACTTTTTTTTTGTAATGTGATGTATGCCCTGAAGGAGAGGAGAGTATAGGGTGGAGAAAAAGCATCCTGCATCCTTTCTTCCCCACTGTCTTTGTGGAACTGCCTGGACTCTGATTTCCAGGTGGGGCTGTTTCGGGTGCTTCTGAGCTGAGGCAGTAACTTCACTGGGTGGTGAAATGTTGGCATCTCTAAACCAATCAGTGCCCCTCAGTTTTGGAGGGTTTATTTCTGTGCTTGGTGTTAATGTCCTGGCTGATACCCAAGGCACAGCAGGTACAGCTGACAGTGAGTGGTGATAAACATACAGCACCAGTCAACTATCCAAAAAGGCTGTTCGCAATATTCTTTGGCTGCAGGAAGCAAAAAGGACAAACCCCAGCCCTCAGGACACAAAAAGAAATGGAATAACCTGTTTGAGCATTGCTGCTCTAGCTATAAAAGTGGTTTTGCTGTGCTGTTCCTCTGCCCAGCAGGGCTTGACTTCTGTTGGGCAAGTGCTTCAGTCCCCCCCTACCCTCCCCAAACAAAGCGTGGGGTGAGGCCTATGGGGCTCAGCTCTTCCTGCAGGTCTGCCTGTGTTGAAGGGGAGATTAAACTACTCCTGGATCCGTCTGAAACTACGTACAGAAACTCTTTGTAGTGGCCTTCTGTGTTATGCCCCAATCACATACTCCGTGGGGACATTTTGGAAGAGGGAGATGGCACACAGTTACTCAAACTTTTACCATAGCCATTGGCTTTTTCCCTCAGAAAGCTCTTTGTGCAGAGGAAATGTTAAAAAGCCTCGATTTTTGGCTTGAGGTTTTCTAAGGAGTTTCAAAAATGAGGCCCTTGGGAACTTGGCAGCTAATTCTTAATCCTTCTGAGAAACCTGTGGGCCTGTTTGCATTAACATGTCCTTGCTGGGCTGTAAATGGGAATTTTGTCTTTCTTGCAGCTCCTTCGAGAACTGATAGAGCGTAAAACCACCTCCCTGGACCCCAACGACCAGGTGGCAATGGGCAGGTAAGGAGGGAGCTGTCTGTAACATCACTGCCTTCCTCCCAGCACTGCATTCCAGCAAAATCACCTGGGGGCTTCCAGTCCGGTTCACTGGAGAGGGAAGAGTACTGAGTTGATCTGGAAAAAGCATCTGGGTGTAAGACATTGCCTGAGGAGTTATTAAATCTGTATGGCATTAGTCAGGAAGCTCATCCTCTGTAACATACTCCTCAGTTATGGATCACACAGTCTGACTTCTGAGCTGTGCCCTGGTTTGTGTGTGATCCCCTGGAGATGCTTCCCAGTTGGAAAGGGTTGTTCCAGGTATTTCTGTCTCTCTGTTTGATTCTGGAGTTAGAAAATAAAGAACCTTCTAAATGCCACTTAATGAGCAGTGTACATTTAAATAACCAGGGGCTCTAATTTAGAGAAGAGTAAAAGCAAAGGAAAGCTGGGAATGCTGGAGTTGGGCTCTCCCCTGAAACAACCCATGGGATTGTGTTTGGAGAGAGGAAGAAAATGCAACGGGGAAGTTTTGTGACGGTGAAACAACTTTTCTCCTTGTAAAATATTACCCAAAGTTTAGTGCAACGTGTCAAATTTATTTTGTGTACATCTGGATTATTATGGAAAGCTATTCACTATAATTTAACATGATATAGACAAAATTGCATTTAAGTAGTGATTACATTGTACATTTATCTGACTTTACAATAAAATAGATTACAGTAATTAAGATTATATTAAGATTGCAGTAATTGGATTTTGCTAGATTTTTTCCCTGATGTCGAGTTTTCATTGTATAAATCAGGTAAGATGACGCTCCTTTTAGTAAAAAAAAAATATTTAGAAGTGGGAGAAGTTTCTCCCTGCTGGAAACTTTGTTTTCTCGATGAAATTCTGTTTGAGAAGTGGAGCCTTCATCACAGTTGGGGATCACACAGTGTTTCTGGAGGTGTTTACTGGCTCTGAAAGTTGTGTACCTGTTGTTTTCCATTCCTCAGGCAGTGGCTGGCCATCCAGAAGCTGAGGAGCAAAATAAAGAAGAAGGTGGACAGGAAAGCCAGCAAAGGGAGGAGAATCAGGTGGGTGACAGGTTCTGATTTTGTCAAGTCTGACAGCGCTGGGTTGGCTCTGGGGTGCTGATTCATGAGTTTTAGGGCAGGATTTCTTGCTCTGGGGAATCCTGAGATGTTCTTTGAGCCTGGAATAAGGGCTTGGTTGGTGCAGCCTTTGGGCACTGCCCCGATCAGTCCTGGCAGGAGTGTTTATTGGCCTCAGGAAGCACCAGAGAGGGGCATTCAAACATCCCTGAGCGATTTGGGGCCGTAATTTCGAGTGAAAGCCAATAAACACCTCTTGTGCAATGTATATTTCACTGGCTAAAAGCTGGACAGCAGCTCAGGGGAAGATGTGCAGAACTGCCTCAGGTAGATCTCTATTTGCCACTGACTGCCAATTGGAATTTGGTGTCTAATCTTTCTTTATTGATAAGTCACATCACAGCTCTCTTGAGCTTCGGAGCATTTCACTCCTGGATCACTAATTAGGTTTGAACTTGGTTGTGTTGCCAGTGGAAGAACCTTCCCTGTGGAAAGGGAGGCAGCCTGGAGAGCTGAGTTTTCCCCCTTTGCAGAGCAGATCTCCCAGTCTCCCTGAGTTTAGCATGACTGCATGATTTGTGGTGGAGGAGGATGCTGAAAAGCTGCTCTGCTTCCTGAAAAATCTGCCACATTAACCATCCTTTTGTGAGTAAACTATAAATCCTGAGTTTAGATGGCATCTGATAGAAAGTCAGTGGAGTCAGTCTGGGTCAGGCCTGGCATAGCAATTTTTAAGATAGATGTCATAAGATAATTTATTGAAAGAGGGAAGAGCTACTTTGTTGGCCTGAAAAGCCCATAATTATTGACTATCAATATTCCTTTCTGTCAGCATCACACATAATTGGATATATTCATGATTCAGTCAAAACTACTGACAACATCACACAACTGAGGCAGACTCGTAAAGCTCCAGGAATAATGGGGAAGTCTCTCCTTGTGTGCAGTGTGTGTGTGTGTGTTCAGCATTCCTGGGAGAGCAGCCATCTCACCAAGCCAGTTGCCTCTTACATCTTAGGGGCCTTCTCTTGCTGCTTTAAATAAAAGTTGCATGGAAAATATCAATGAAAGAAAAAGTCTCATTGTCTGTGGTTAGCATTAACATCAAGTTAAGCTTCAGCTTCTTTTCAGAATAGGCAAGTAGAACCCAAATGGGTGTTTTTAATTAGTTGGTTCTTCCACTGAGAGACTTGGTGTCACCCCAGACAGATCCCTTACCCTCTGTTCTTTTTATTCCTTCTCTAAAACTGGGATAGCAATGCTTAAATTTGCTATCATGAAGGACTTTGAGATCCTGGAGAGCAAAGTGTTTAATGCTAAGTTAGATCTGTCTCCTTTATCCTTCCCTTTTAGCAAAGCTTCAATATTACAGCATGTTTGGATAAAATATGCTGGTTTACTGCAGGGGCTGAGGAGCTTCAAGTGCTTTCAGAATCAGTCAGTCTGCCACTTGACACGAGTACCTGTCCCCTTCACAGACAGGGATTGAGGAAATGAGCTCATCCAAACACTCCCCAGTCAAGCTTAAGAAACCTGGTGCCTAAAACTCTTCTGCCCCTCACTGGGACGTGCCCTTTCTCGGGTTTGCACACCTGCTTTTCATGCCAGGGATTTCTGGTCCTGTGCTGCTGCAGCATTCTGTGAATGAAATGAAATATTTTGTATCTGCTGGACTGGGATTTTTGAAGTCCTGATTTAAAAGGTGTGGCAGTGATTGGATCTGGACAAACAGCTCGTGTCAGAGAATTTACCTGAACTGCCACGTCCCCGTGCCAGGCTGTGTCAGTGTAAGCCTTGATCTGTGTAAATCCGTGGCAGTGCCTCATAAGGGAACTGTTTCAGAGCCCGGGCTGTTGACCTGTCGATTGTGGCAGCACCAGCCCTGCTCAGCTGTGCCTGTTCCCTGCCTCCATCATTACAGCATCGGGTCAGGGCAGTTCCTTCCATTACCACTGACAAAGACTTGATTGTGCAGAGAAGCCCTTGTGTGAGGGTGAGTGTGTGCTGTGCCTGAAGAGCCGTTCTGAAATGGGCTTGTGAGCTGAAAATCCCCTCGAGGGAATGTTCCTGCATAAGCAAACAAAAGGGAGTGCAGAGGTGACAGAGTGGAAAGGTGATTCTGGGCAAATGCTAGTGAATCCTTTTGCCTGCTATTTGTCAAGCTCTAAAAATAGCAGCAGCTTGGATGAAACATTCCAGGCTGGGGTAGGCAGGTAGTGCACACCAGTGGTTTGGAATCCCCTGCCCTCAGAAACAGGGTTTAAAGCCACTTCCATTCGGAGGTTTTCAGTACCCTGTTAAATTTGATGTTGTGTCCTTGAGTACAAGGCATGAAATGCACTGCAGTGTGGAAAGTGGCGAGGAGATCCTGTGTCTGGGGGTGCAGGGCAGCTTGCAGAAATATTTTGGTGATGAGAATATGCCCCATCTCATCTTTGCACAGGCTTTTGCTGCCTTCTCCTTCACTTGTTTTTACATGCTCCATTTGTAAGTTATTCAGGGTAAGATTTTCCAGCTATGGACATGGCTACAGAGTGGGATTTTGATGTCCTTTAGGGCCCTGCATACCACAGAGCAGGGAAGGAAGAACTGGTAGCAGATGGATGCTGGAGAAGGTCTGATGCTCTGACGCTCCTGCTGCCTGCAGTGGGCTCTGGGCACAGATTCCAGAAGGTGATTAAGATGCCAGCTGAATGGAAGGCTGGAAAGGAGTGTCTCTGACTTCTCAGGGTTGTCTGTCTGGGAGTCTGATTAGGGACTCACACACAATTAATGGATGCTGTCTGTCCTCTTCCTCACTGGGCTAAAAAAGGGTTTGCTTGCTGTTCAGTTCATTGTATCATCTGATTATTCTTGTGTCCATGTTGTAAGAAAGGAAGAGGGAAGGGAGGGGGAATTGCCAGGTACGACTGGTGACTCATTAGGAATCAGCCCCCAGGAAAGCCAGTGCTTTGCCTTTCAGGGGGCTGGAGCGGTTCTAGTCAAGCAGCAACATTTCCTTTTCATTAATAGCTACTAATGTGCTGCCTGCTTATTTCCTGCACTCCTCAGGTATCATGTGCATAGCAAGCTGGTGAGCTTCATGGCACCTATTGACCACTGCACAATGAATGATGATGCCAGGTGAGTAATAGATTAATTATGGCTCTCAAATGGCTGCATGACAGCGTGATATTGACCTGTTCTTCAGGCTGTCGCCCCCTCCATTTCTTCTTATCAGTTCACCATTTGTCACTGGCATCATAGCCTGGGTGTCTTGGTCACATCTGTCCTGGCAGCCTGGCTGAGCTTTCGCTCTCTTAATTGCTGTGACTCCAAACAAAGAAGTTTTCATAAATCTCGGTACCCACATTTTGGTTCCTGCTTTTAAAACTCCTCCGATTTTGAAATCATCCATCTTGGAGGGATTCATTTGGAAAGAGGTAACTAAGTTACCTGGTGGTCTCAGGTATAACCAAAACTTAAAAAGAACTTGTCTTTTAGCAGAAATGGCAACTTTAGATTCTGGCTAATGTGCATTTTCTTAGATTAGTTAATAATTGGAATAATTCTGTCAAGATTCACTCAAGACCTAAGTGTTCTTTGTGTTTATGTCTATTTAAAGAGTGAGGAATTTTATTGGAAAACTATAATGATTTAATGTGCTAATTAGTAAAGAAAATATCAATAAAGTTTTATGCAGAGTTACTAAACAGCTCTTCTACATATCCACCCATATTTCTTCAGTATTGCATTTTTAAGCTGCATCTCGAAATGCTGAAGCTCTTTGTGGGAAGGAGGTGGAATAATTTTTCCAGTGAATGGATGTAGAAAGCTTGAGAAACATCTTTCCCCTGGGTTGTGGAACATGTTTGTGCTTTGTGAGGGAGAGATGTCATTTGTCTGTTTGCGAAATGGAAACCAAATACCTGCTGTTCTTTGGCTGCTGCCTTTTGGGGGATTGCACAGAGGTCTGGATGAGGAGTAAGCTGGGGCTAAGATGTTTTGTGTCCATAAGACCTGTGATGTTTCATCGTGCATCTTTCTCAGAGTTTCTTTATTTTTTTTTTTTTCTCTTTTTTTCAAGTGAGAAAAAAACCCCAGCTGCTCTGAATTTTTAGTATTGTTTAGATCCTCTCACCACGGAAATAAACGTGGTGCAGGTGCAGGGTGAAAGCTATTCCTTCAGCCATATAAAGTGCTCAGTTCTTCCACCCCTTACCTGGATCATAGGATGGGGCAGGATAGATGTACTTTCCTGGTAGAGTCAAAGCATCCTGTGGGAACAATTCTGGGATGTGCTGCTTGTTCCCCTCATCTTTTTGTCTGAGGGCAGTTGGCAGGTGGCAAATGTGTTACAGGAAGAACCGGTTGGTACCATTTTCATTAATAATCTGCATGCCTGCAATATTCCTCTCTCTTAGTATTATGTCCAGTTGACTGGTTATTATTATGCTTTAGGAATTTGGAATGAGGTTGGGGTGTGGTTATGTAGTACTTACTGCACTGTCCTGCAGGCTGCAGATCCCTGCTGTGCCCCCAAAATTAAGGCAAGCTTAGCTCCCATGGGGTGTATGAGGGAGAGGGAGGTGAAAAAAAAAGGGTGAGACTGATAATAGAGGAGGGACACTGAGTGTGCTGTCCCCAGAGGTGACATTGCCTCCTCCTTCACAGCCCACCGCGCTCACTCGTGTTCCGAAAGTTGCACAGAAAATGTGCTCTGCGAGCCAAAATCCTGCAGCCAGCCAGAGCAAACGTGGAGTGCATCAAACAGCTGGGACAGGGGGAGTCATTCTGTGCTATGGCCTTCTCGGGCCTCAGCTCCCCTTCATCTTCCATCCTCATCTGCCATCCTGCTGCCCCTCGCTGCCCGGGAGGCACCTCGAGCCCCCAGCACGGTGCCTGACCCCCAGAACTGCTCCAGCCCGTCCGTGTTAGGCTCTGTCCTCACAGTTCTCGCTGTGGTGGGGGCAGAGTGGTTGACATTTGCTCTCCTGGGGGTGTGTGCCGGTGTTGTTGTGCCCACGTCGAGCAGGTTATTGCGTCGCTCGCGCGGTGTCACCGAGCGTTCGGTGGCGGCAGCAGCTGCTGCTCATTGTCTGACTGCGGGAACTTAGTCCTGACATTAAGTTTATGAGTCGCTTTGGAGGCTTTCCATGCTCTCTGCTGATGGCTCTGCAGGCACCGAGCCCCTGTGCTGGGTTAGACGTGTTGATGTGTCACACAGCGGGCGTGCCTGGGGGTCGTGCCGTGTGGGCAGCTGGATCCCGCTCTGCCAAGATCAGCAGCCCTGGATGTGGATGGGGCAAGGATGGAGTCAGGCTGGGCAGGTTCTGTTCCTTGTTCTGCCAGTGGCTTCCTGGGTGACCTTGAGCAGGTTGCTCTGTGTTCTGATTGCTCTGTGCCACGGAGAGCTGCTGGTGAGATGGGCCTGGTGTAAAAGCAGTGGTTTAGTAATAGTAATTTTAGCGGTATTTAATTTTTCAACATATACAGGAAAGCTTTTGTTTCAGACACAAAAATAGAAGCCTAAGCTTTTTTCCTCTGTTGCCAAAATGCCTGCTGGTTACCTGCAGCACAAAGAACATGCCTATCACAGGCATCACAGTCTTCCTTTAGCACTTCTCTGCAGCTTTAGTCCTAATGTTGAGCTTAAATTTCCCTCTGCTGTAATTTGGACCTGTTATTTCTTGTCCTGTTCCATGTGGGCTTTGGGAACAAATTCGTGCTTTCTCGCTGCATCAACCCTTGCCCATTTGGGTGGGAACCCTTGTGAAAACCTGGGTGCTACTCATCAGCTTCCTCCCCACTTTACACCATCTGTGTTTGCATCCAGGCATAAAACATATTCAAAATATTGGTCAGTGCCTGAAAATTAGGGGCCTCAGTAGGTGTTTGGGTTCAGCTCTCTCTCTACCTGTGAGGAGGAGCAGCCTGAGCACTGGGAAGAGAAGGGGATAAACAGTCACTCCAGGATTGTTTTACAGCCCGAGTTCGAGGAGAGGAACGTGCAAGTCAAATAACTGCCTTTGTCAACATCACTGCCACTTTCTTTCTTATTCTTGCTGCTGGTTGGAATAATAGCACTGGTGGAAGCAATTAATCTTCCCCTTGCCAGTTTTCCATGCACCCTATGCATGGGCATGGCTGTTTGACCCTGTGCTCACATATATTATGGTGTAATGTGTGGGACACTGGTGGCCTCCAGCCCTCCTCTGTTTTAACCCCTCTTTGGTAGTATTTTAAAACATACATTGGAAAGTGATTTTTATGGTTGTCTTGGGATACATGTTTATAGACTTTAGCACATTTATTGTCCTCTCGGGCCAAGGTTTTTCTAATCGGTCCAAGGTCATTGCTATGTAAATGGCCTGACCTAAGACAAGGGACCTGAAGGCAAACCTCTGGTGGTTGCCCAGAGGAGAGGGGAGCTGCCTTGGGCAGGAATTACTCAGGGTTAGAACAGGGTTGGCTGTGATTTCTCCTGGGTTTGAGGGTGGTATCCTGTGGGTGCCACTTCTTGGAGTTGCCTGGAATTAGGTTTTTCCTGTGGCCACAACGTGGGGAACTTCACATCCTGCAGCGGCACCACGTGCAGCAGGGCTGGGAACAGGCCAATCTCCTCTGCTTTACACCCTGGGAAATGGGGCTCAGAGAGGTGATAGCCTGGATCTCCAAAGGCTTTTGGGTCCAGAAATCCTTGAGGCAAGAGCCTTAGGGAGTGGCCAAAGGGGACACAGAAGGTCTGGGATAGAGCTAAGGCTGAACCTGCTGAGGCCTCCGAGTCTGTTCCAAGTGAGGTGTTTTCAGTACGTGCAGGAGTGGATCCAATGCACGGCCTTGTTGTGGCAAGGTCAGGTAAAGTCTGTGTTCCTGGGAGGAGCTGTGTGTGGATTTGGGGTTTATTCTCTCTGCCTGTCAGCTGTGATTTACAGATCTTCAGATCTCTGCACTGTCCGTGTGTGTGAGGAACAGAGACTAAACAGAGACACTGTAAAACAAGGTCTGATATCAAATTACTGCGAAGTTTGATGAACATCTGAATTTCACCTCTGGAGGACGGTGACTTGCAGGGGAGACATCCTTTAAGGACACAGATGTTTGGTACAAACACCTTTATCTCCCGAGATGACTCTGGTTATTCTGACAGGTAAAACAAGATTGTGCAAATATGCAACAATGATCTAATCAGCTGGAACAACAGCAATATTTTAACTGGCGCTACCTTTTAACAGCATCATTAAGGGCTCTCATTACTCTTTTATTAGAGGCTCACTCTATTTCTTATCAGATTACAGAATGAACATAACTCATGGCACTGATTTGATCTCTTGTTAAAGAGGATTACAGCTTTGCATTAACTTGGATTGACACGGTTTATAATTTGCTGTTGATACACATGCTGGCGGTGTCACATGTTTGACCCCCTCCCCACAGCAGCGCTGAGGAAAAGGACACCCATACATCATCATTAAACATGGCACCCAGTGCAGAACGGGAGGCAAAAGGAGCCTTTTCTGCAGGAAAGTCAGGCAGGACAAAGGCGTCGAGATTCCCAGCGGGGATTCGTAACTGGGGGAAGGTGGGGAGGATAGGTCGGGTTTTGTACAGGTGGGTTTGTGCCTCTGCAAATGGATCTTCATTAGGGAGGGGGAATTTGCATCCTTTATGAGCCAAATTGGAGGGAAGAAGATGGCCCTGGTGGGACTGTGTCAAACCAAGCAGTGTCACCACAACGTGAGGCCCTTCTGGGAGCTGGGGGAATTTCTCCTGCTCTTCTGAGACCTTTCCATGCTGTGTTTGCCCCCAGTTAGAGATCCTGTCCCTGCCTTGGGGCAGCACTGCTCCTACACCTCTGGGGTGAGCTCAGCCAGATCACCTGTTGGCTTGTGGTGAAGTGACCCTTCTGTCCCTGGCACCTGCATGTCTTGTGTCGTGGCTCCCTCCTTCCAGCTCCTGTGTCCTGCCCAGCCTCGTAGGGCTGCATTTCCTCCACACAGGGTTTTCTTTTCCTTTAGCAGATGGTCACAATTTTGTGCTTGACTTTGGAAGTGCAGACTTAATGCAGCAGAACCGGGCTCAGGGCAGGAATCACTTCTCGAAATCCCGTGGCCAAGTGCAGGAAATGAATCCCCTGCCTCCCCAGCCCCGTTGGCCTCAGGTCATGTGTGGCACAAGAGCATCCAGAGCCCGCTCCTGCTCTTCCACGAGCCTGCTGGGAGGCTGAATTAACTCACAGATTATCCAGCTGCCAGAGAGGCTTGGATTAGAGCATTTCCCTCGGATCCAGCCGGGACGTTGTGTGTTTTCCCGATCAGCATTCTCACTTTGGCGCGGTTGCTTTGTCACAGCGTGTCTCTGCAAGCAGAGGGGGGTACGTAGTAGGAAATCCTGGTATTAAAAGATTAATTTACTTATATGACATAAGAGTTTAATAAAAAAAAATTAAAAAAAAAAAAAAAAGGTTGGTGAGATACCAGCCTTTAACTTCGCTCACTTTGTACTTTGGGTATTAAAACACCATGAGATGGGATTAATGGAGGAATTTGGGCTCTGCGATTGTCAATCCAGTACCTTCACCAGCACAGAATTCCTGAGAGGAAGCAAAGCCCTTCCTTCTGGAACAACTAAGCCAGTGGCTTCTGTGCTGCATGGCACGAACCTGGGTGTTGGTGTGAGAAAAGTAAGTTTATTTGGGCACAGCCTGGAAGAAAGGCTGTCCTGCTTTGGCTTTGTTTTGGGAAACAAAGGGAGAGAGTATGAACATGGAGGGCTGTCTCAGAGGGTGCAGGGCTCTGATGTTTTAGGGAATTTGGGGTGTTCTGGCACGAGGCTGTGGGTGGGAGGGGGAGTTTTCTGCCTGGGCTCTGGGGCTGCTGGAGGAACCCCCTCAGGGGAGATGTGTGGGCTCTCCTGGAGAGGTGCTGTGTAACCTGCTGCACACCTGAGCTGCAGGAGAGCCTGAAACCAGACAAAGAACCTGTGTTGTCCTGTGAAACTAAACCTGCTTGGCTTCATCCAGAGGCACTGTGACTTTGGGATCACAGAATGCCAGAATGGTTTGGGTTGGAAGGGACCTTAAAGGTCATCTCATTCCCCCTCCTGCCATGGACAAGGGACACCTTCCACTAGACCAGCTTGCCCAGAGCTCCATCCAACCTGGCCTTGAAATTTCTGCCCTTTGTGTCTCATTTTCTTTGTTTCATTTAAAAATCCCCCCAACCTTTGACTTGGCCTTCACCATCAGCTCATGGAGGTGCAGTTTGACACCCTGAGTCACTTTAACTCAGAAGGGCTGGTGTTTGCACAGGGGGCTGTGTGGTTTTGGCTGGCAGGGTGAAGTGATGACCCATCACTGGAACCATCCTGTCCCAACACTTGATGTCTGACATCCCTGTAAGGAGAGAGGCGCCTCTGCTATGGAAATTTCCTTTTTAAAGGGGAAGGAAAAAAAATAACCTGTTAAAGGGCTGCGAGATGATTTGTCGTCTTTCCTTTGTGAGACAATTTGTCTTCTCCTGCATCAAATCTGTTATAAAACAGGCAAGCTGTGAAAGAGGGAAATCATCCCAGGAATATGGGGCGTTAAGGGGCACAAAGAATGGTCCCCTCCTGCTCTCCTGCACAGGGCTCTTCCCATGCAGCATCAGAGGCTGCTCTGCTCAAATACCCATCCAAAAACTGACTGAGAAGGCATTTGATGTAATTCATGGGGAAATTCCAGCTGCTGGAACACATGGCAGTGGAACTGGCTAGAGTTGCCTGCACATCCCTGTGTTTTGCTGCTTCTGCAGCCATTTGCCCACATATTTTGTGCTTTATGCTGTAAAAGCTCCAAAGAAAATGCAGTTGGGACCAGAGTCAGGATGAGAGAGGGTCCATCTCTCCTCTGTTAATGGTATCCCAAGCTCAAGGCTGGTGCAGGTGTGAGGGGAACGTGCAGAATTGGTGGCAGGGATGAACCCCAGGTCTGGCTGTGTTTGGCACCAGCCCTTTCCCACTCCTCATTCCCAGATCCAGCCTCTCCAACTGTGCAGCCTCCCTTTGTTTAGGGCAAGAACCAGCTTTGTGAAGCGTTTATAAATCTCGGGAGACGAGCAGGAGGTCACATGTCACCTTCCATAATTCAGGGCCGTGGGGCTAAAAGCGTTTGCACAGGCTGGGGGATCCTGATCCCGACCTGCCTGGGCTGGAGGGAATGGCAGGAGACCTTTGTGGAGCCCCCGGAGCGTGGGCAGGGCCAGGGGGTCACAGCTGAGCTGAGCGCTCAGGGGCTGGGAAGGGAGTGAGTGCCACCTCGTGGGGCTGGGCACGGAGCCCCAGGGCCCTCCCTGTGCCACTGGGGGGGTCTGAGCCCTGCTTTGGGGGTCTCCACCTCACCCAGCACCCCGAGGGTTTGTGGCTGCAGGGCCGGAGTGGGGAGTGCGGGGTGGGAGAACAGAGCCAGACCCCACAGCCAGCTGGTTTGGGGTTTGACCAGAAACTAAGGCTGCTTTAGCCTTTCACCAGAAATTAAAAAATAAATGGTTCCAGCTTGTTTTGTCTTCCTGCTCTCTTTTCTGTTGCCTGTAGAGTGTGTGTAGCAGTGATAGCTGGGATTTGGAGGGGGGCATTTAGCACACCAAGCTCACCCGGAGTAGCTGCTCCTCTCCTTTCATTTTTTAAGAAAAAAAATCATTTTTATTAAGAAATAAAAAGCTTCAGCTTTGTTTTATCTTTCTATCTTTTATCTTCCTGTTACCTGCTCTGCTTGCTGGGCACTGAGTAATCTGAATTTCACACCATGGGACGAAACATTTCTTAGGGTACAGACAGAAAGTTTTCCAAGGAAACAATCAGCCAACTTCAATTTTCTTCAGGAGTTGTGTGTTTTCCATTTTTTCATGCTTGCTTTCTTCATGGGTGTTCGTGATCTGCCTTTTTTCCAGTTTTTGTGAATTAAAAATTCAGCGTTCCCACTGGAGGATGGCGGTAGGAATGGGTTATACAGTCATTTCAGTACTGCTTGTGGCTTATTCTAAATTATCTTTTTTTGGGGTAGAGGAAGAGAAGAAGTAAAAGGTACAAGGGAAAAGGCAGAGAAATTGGTTGGAGGGTATTTTTACTACAAGAGCACAGCAGTGGCTTGAGCACTGTTGCTATTTTAATAAAAAACAAAACAAGACAAACAAAAAAACCCACAAAAACCCCAAAACCAAACAAAAACCTAAAAACAAACAAACAAATCAGAAACTGAATTTTCCCCCTTAATATTGTTCTTCTATTAATTCACAGAACTATGTTTAGAAAAAAGACTTTGTAACATGTCTATAATTACTCAGAGTAGCACAACACTGGTTTTTCCCACGTGCAGGTGCATGTTTGGTTTCCCCTTTGTGCATTTGGTGGGCAAAGTCCCTTCCTGGGCATCTGTTTAGAATTTTTGTGATTTATATGCTGAAGATTCCTGCAGATTTACGAAATGTGCAGTTGCAATTAATATTCACTCTGTGAGTGTGTGTGTTTTTCCTTGTTCTCTGTTGCAAGGATTTTGCCTCTAAAATGGGTGTAGCAGCAATACCTGGGGTTTGGAGGGGGGAAGAAAGAGCCCACTGGGCATTTAGCACACCAGGTTCACCACCTGGAGTAGCTGCTCCCTTTATTTCACATTTTCAAACAATATTGTTGACCTGAAAAGCCCAGTTTTCATGGTGGGGTGCTGTCCCTTGGCTCTGGAGCCAGCTCAGAAGAAATGCATAAATAATTAAGCCAAGGTACTTACACACACATGTTTTATGGCAAATGGCTCCGTGGTCCGTGATCATTTTTTCCAGAAACAGGTTTTATGATAATACAGTAAAAATATTAAATTAGAAAATGCCTCACTAAGGGTGATAAAACCTTACTACAGTGGAAATAGGTAATTATCCCCTCTACAGCCTAAATGACAGTTTAAAAGAAATAAAAATGTTAGTGCTCATTACTTGCTTTTGTAGGTTGCAATAAAGGGTGAGTTAAATTTTAATTCAGGGAAGACCCCTGTATCGACCTGCTCCTTCCACACTCCCTACCTGAGGTGTGAGTGCTGTTAATTACCTGCACAGGTTATTCCTCAGCACATGCTGCCTCCAGAACCTCTTTGTGCTAAAGTCACCTTTCCTGCAGCTGCAGGTAACACACTTGCAGTGGGGTGTTACAAGCTCAGGTCTGATGTCTCATATCTGGGGGTGGAGGAGAGAAATTTTATATTTTTTTAACCAAAATCCAAGTTCATTATGCATAGCCTTAAGGGGGCTGAAAGTATTAAAATCTGCACTTACCCCTGGTGAATTGAAACAGAGACAAGGTTAAACCTGGAGGATTGATGAGTTTTACTCTCTGCATGGTTAAATCCTGCTGAGGGGAGAGGCTGCAAAAGAAAGGGAGCCTGGATGATGAGAAGAGAGGGGGAAAAAAAAAGGTTGGGTTGTTTTTATTATTTTATTTTTTCAGGGTGAAATGTTTGTTCTGTTTTGGGGGTGGTTTGGGGGTTACCTGATTTCCCTCCTTCTCCTGTCACTCTGCTGGGGGTTCTGTCCATGATATATTATCCAAAGAGCTCCACTGTTGCTGTTCCTGGGAGGATGAGGCTGTGGGATGCAGGGGAACCCCCCTGTGCCCCCCAAACCTGGGGTGTCCACGTCACAGCCTGTCAGTGTTGGCAAACCTTCCTCTGCCAGCAAAGACAGATCCTTGCCTGAAATCTCCCCGGGCCCTGCCTGCCTGAAAAATGGCTGTTTATTTAAAATCTGTGGGATTGCAGCAAATCCAGCATCGATCCCTGAACTCCTGTACCCGCAGGAACAGCACCAGACCCACCAAAATGAGGACAAAAAAATGAGGGATTCTCCTCCTTGGGTTCTCCTGCAGCAGGAAAGGCCAAGGCAGGCTGCAAAGAAGCAGCACTCTGGGGTTTTGGCTGCAAACACAGAAGCTCTTGCTGTCTTTGGTGGTTTCTTTGGGGTCCCCCAGCGTGTACATGTTGTGTTTGAACTTCCTCACCTTGCTGGGGGTGTAAGAAATGAGTTCATGTGGAAGGGAGAAGGGCCTGGAGACCTGGAGAGGGGAGCCTGTTCTGGAGCAGATCCCCCTTGGATTTTCCAGAATGCCTTTAGGGTGGTTTGAGGCAATGGGATCACTTGGTTCTCACTCATAACCTTGGGGTTGTTACTGCTCTTGGAAGGGAAAAATCCCACCCCCCATGTAACCAACCCCCTGCCCTGTGTGTGCAGCAGTGACAAAAGGCTGCTGCCTCAGAAAATGCATTTATACAAAATAAGGCTCTTCCCCGTGTTTTTCCCTCAATATCCAGAAATACCTCTCCCCCAGCTCGGGTTACTCTGGTTCTAAAATTAAAGATAACACCACACCACTTTTTTTAAAAAAAAAGGGGAAATTTGCTCCTGTTATCAGAATTGCTGCACGTGGGATATTAATTGGAATCTTGTTGCCGGGTCATTTTCATTGTTTCTCAAGTACTGTCCAAGAAAATGTATGAAAACTAAATTACAGTCCCACGTAGGCTGTGATTGAATCCTCCTCACGGCTCCGTGGCCTCGTACATCCCATTAAAATATTCAATCTTGTTTTCTTACTTGAAGAGCCTGTCTGGAAAGGGCAAACTTACAGAAGCCCTCATTCTCTGGAGATAGGAGATCCAGCCACACTGAGATATTTACATATTTCTGTTCTGCCTGGGATTGGTCTCACACAAGTTCCCCCCCCCATATTTATTAACAAAGATTGTTGAATGCATTTTTAATTACACGAGCCCTTTCCATTTGGAGGGGAGGACTTGTGGCAGCCTCTTCATTCCCTGTTGACCTTGAAAAGTAACTTTTCCCTCTCCACCTTCCCTTTTCTTTCCCCAGGACGGAGCTTTATCGGTCTCTGTTTGGAAAAGTCACGAATGGTGAAGAGCTGGAGCGGAATTAGGATCAGGCCCTTGGTTCCCTCAGGCTGCCCAGGAGCAGGGCAAGGTCTCCCCAGCCTCTGGTCTGTCCCTAAAATCCTGAAGGAGCATCAAACCTGGTCACTGCTGAATCAGAGGGATGAGTGGGGACACTGAGCCTGGCTGAACACCCACCCTGTCCAGCTTCAGGTGCTTCCTCCCTGAGACAACCCATTTTCAACTGTTCCCTTCAAATTCCTGACCTTGATTTTTCCCTCTGGGGGCAATGCTGGGGGGAAGGGACACAATCCAGCCCAGCAGGGACCACCAGCCCCCCACAGGGGTCCCCCACAGTTGTGTTAAACCCTCAGGGATTTTGCTTTGGGGGTTGGGGGATTTAAACACCCCGTTCTGGTCGTGTGGCTTTATTTTTCACCAAGAGGATTTAAATGTCATTTACATAATTAGCAGGGCCTTAAAACAGAGCAAAGGTGCTCTCCCCTGCAGGCACAAGAGGTCCCAGTTCACATTCCAGCTGCTGAATGAACACAGGGACTCACCTGAGGGGTTTGTGGGGGTTTATAGCCAAAGGCCAGAGGTGGGATATCAAATCCTGTGAGGGGAATTTGGGATTCCGCTGTGATCAGGTTATCTCATGTGAATAACGTGTATAAGGGGCACAGCTTGTCCCACAGAGCTGCCCTGTCCCTGGGTGGTGTTTTGGGTGATGGAATTAAAATGGTTTGTAAACTGGTTGTCCTGGTGTGATCCGTGCAGGAACGGCCCCACTGGCTCGGGGGTTCCACACCAGTGTCCCCTTTCACAGAGATGGAGTGAAGCAGCCACCTGCCTTATTCCTGACCTTGAAAAAGCCAAGGGATCTGGGGGCTTTTCCCTGCACAAGATACAGTTTTTACCAGTTTTGCAGTGGGTGACTAAATTTGACTGGTTTGTTATTTTTTCTAATTAAGCTTAAATAAAAATGTGTCAGTTTTTAAGGCTGTAAGGGGTTAGATGGCAGGGAGGGAAGCCCTCTCTGTGCCCTGTGCTGCCCCTGAGGGTGAGGCCCAGAGCGCAGCAACTGTGATCCCACTTTGCATCTCCTTGCAGTGATTCCCCCTTTCCCTCACCTCCTGCTGTGCTGCTCCCACAATCCTGCCTCTGCTTGGAATGGGATGTGTTGCTCCACAGTTTTATCCCTCTTCTCCCTTAGCAGACTCTCTGCAGCCAAATTTTTGCACTTCACTGTGTCCCCAGAGCTGTCTGCAGCTGATATTAATTAATCCTTTTTGCACCTCATCATTACAGATTTAGTCTCCCTTTAGTCACCTGCTCCCAATAAATGCCTTCCCAGCACCTCAGTGGGATGGGGAGCACAGAGCCCACCACAGCGAGGGAGGCCAGCTCAGCTGCAGCTTGTCTTGAGCAGTGGGATATCCTGGGTTAAAAACAGGACAAAAAAAAAAAAAAAAGATTCTCCTTTCTCAGCTTCTCCTTTCCCAGCCCCTCAGTAGCGCCGGGCTCGGCTCCTCCCTGCCCTGTGGAGACACCTCTCGTTTTCCTTGGCTCCAGAAAGTGCCAAGGTGAGTATTGACTTTGGGTGGCAAGCACGTGTCTCGTGGATGAATAAATCTCTGCTCTCTCACAGCAGGGCAGAGCTGCAGCTCCCAGGGAGGTGCATCCATCTCCCTGTCCCTTCCCAGCTCCGGTCCAGGTGGAAATGCAGGAATCGTCACTGCTGGCTCCTGGCCCGGATTCAGGATCCCACTGCTGGCATCACCTACAGCAGAGCCTACAGTGATGCCCAGCACAGGCAAAGCACCGTTCAGGGCTGTGGGGAAAAGAGCCAAAGGGTCCTGGGCACAGGGAAGGGCTGATTTTTTGGTCACCTGTACTGGGGGAGGAGCCCCAAGTTCACTGGTGAGCTCAGCATGGGCTGTCACTGGGCTGCTCCAGCACAGAGGGGCCTCTCTCCAGATGTGGGGTCTCTGAGTGTGACCATCTCCCATGGGAAATCCTGGCAATGTCACGTCCTGTCCCCTCCATCCACTCCGTCTCAATTCCAGCTCCCCAGCGAGGCAGGATCCTGTGTGACCCACGCCATCCTGGCACCTCTGACCTGATGACCTGTCCCTGCACTGCCCTGAGCAGCAGCAGAGCCCTGTGCTCTTCAAGGTGATTAAAATCTCAGGGTTCAACAACCACAACTCTCAGAGCCGTCGAGGGCAGGAAATCAGCTGCTCCCGGCATGTCAGTGGGATGGCATCAGGCTGCTCGTGCTGTCAGTGCCCACATTAAGGGGCTTGAGCAGAAATCCCCCTGCCCCTGCCCTGCTCAGGGTTTGTTTCTGCGGGCTCTTTGTGGCTGCAGCTGTGCCACCCCCTCCCCGTTTGACTCCTGTGTCCTCTACAGCTGCAGCACCAGGGCACTCCGTGGGTTTTTTTTCTATTTTCATTCTGGCTGTAATGTTAAAAGGGTAATATGAACCACTTTAAATGTGATAACTTCTCGTCGGTATTGTTTGAGGAGATAAGAGCCCAAGCCCCACTAAGCACGCTTTTGAATTCACTTATCAGTGTTTAAGCAGCCTGTTCCCCCCGTCCCCCCACCACCACCTGGGTCGTGGGGACACGGCGAGAACCTGGGCCAGCTCTGACCTTGCTGGTAAGGGCAGCCCCTGATTCCTGGCAGGAAAATGGGCCCGTGCCTGGATTTGAATGTGCTGCAGGAAAAAGTGCAGCCTGTGTAATCCCTGAGGAACAACCCCTCGGAGCACAGTGACTCACCTGTGGCCAGTGGTGGCTCCTCCCAGAGCCTGGGGACAGCAGGAGGGTCTCCTGAGGGGGTGCCTGTACACAGGAGGAGGGTGGGCTCTGCATTACCAGTATCCCCAGTCTGGCTCAGCTCCCGCAGTCCCTGGAAGTTCCAGAGTGTCCGACACAGCAGGGTCAGAGCTCTCGGAGCTGTTCATGCACACACAGATAACCAGGATGATTTCCACCAGCTTTTCCTAATGCTGCCCATTAACAGCGAGATATCCCCCTCCCCAACAGAATATTAATTCTTTATGAATTCATGATACAGCTGCTAATGAGCACCTCCACAAACGGGCACCACACCTGAGCCAAACACGGCGCAGCCGCTCGGAGGCGTTCTGGGGCCCGGGCTCTGCGGAGGGAGGGACAGAGGGTTGTGTTAATCCTCTCCCCCCAACCCCACCACGGCGAAGAATTTCAACTTTCAGACAAACAACTTCATTTACAAGTGTGTCTCTAATTAGCTGCAGAATTAGTAAAGCAGAGTTTTCCCCCCATAGATCGGCCAAAGCCCCGGGGGAGGCTCTGGAATGGAGAGAATCGCATTTCCAATTATTTTGTTGAATTGCTAATTTAGTTATTGTGCCTGGCGTAATTGTGATGGGTATTGGGTGTGCAATTCAATTTGTTTTAAATATTTGTGGGAAGGCTGATCAGTAATGGAGCTGACCTATTTCATGGCCCAAATTGAGAGAAGAGACTAAAACAAAAAACAGCTACAAAGCCCCAGTTTGTCTCAGTTTTTATTTTGATGTCTCTCATCCCTCTTAAGACTGTTGATGCAACAAAAGGTTTACATTAAAAGATGATGGCACTTTGATCTTGGGCTTTGGAGAGCTTACAGCTCTGGTACGTCTTTTCTTGGCATTTCAATATGTAGATATTTTAGGCTAAAGAGTTTTAAATGTGATTCTGGAGTTCAGCAGGGTCTGTCCCCCCACCACCCCCTGTTTAACTATCAGGGTTCTGGTTTGAGAAGTGCAGGAGAAATGAATGGCTGGAGTTGTGTTGGCTCATGTGGGCAAATTTAACAGCTCACCTTTCATGTAGGGACCTCCCAGAAGGTTGAGCAGGTTCCCAGGGCACACCCTTCAGCCAAGGGTCCCGTGGGTCTTTTCCCCTCCTGCTGAGCAGGTCACAGCACGAGTGAGGCTGGAAAAGATCTTTAAGATCCTCGAGTCCAGCTGTCCTTGGGAGAGGGTCCCTGAAGTTCTCCCACCATCTCAGCAGCAGCTGCCAGGGCTCGGTTTTTCCCTGTTTGTCCCAGTCACTGTGATGTTAAAGGTGACAATAAATGATGGAGGAGGAACAGGACCTGCCCAAGGGCTCAGGTGAGGGGCACAGCTGAGACCCTGAGACGCTTCTGCTCCATCCTCCCCCCAGACCTTGAGGGGTCCCCACATAAACCCCCCCTTCTTGCCCCAAGGAAAGCAGAGCAACCCCAGGATACCCAGGACAGGGGGTAACAGATTCCACTCCTGGCCACAGAGCTGTAATTCATTCTTTTTATTAAAAGAAATTGAGGTAAGTGAAATACTTCAGCACCAGCGAGAACCGTTTGTACCCAGGGGGTGTCTCCCCAGCCGGTGACCGACCCACACGCCTGGGGACAGCACAGTGATGGTGCTCTGGCAGGTCCAGACCCCCCCAGGACACACAGGGCTGGTGACAGACCCTGATGTCACCCAACAGCTGGTTTTTTGGAGCTGCTTTACCCCCACATTTAGAGGAGCCCGAGCCAGTGCTGTAACACTGAAACACAGGGGGGGTTGCTCCAAAGGGATCGGGGCAGTGGGCACTGGGACACTTCCCGTGACACCTGGAGGTGTCCTGGATAAGGGACTGACTGGTGACACCACCAGCAGGAAATCCTGGTGACGGGGAGGAGGAGCCCCATGAGTCACCCCCAGAGTGGTCCTGCCTGGCTGAGACATTCTCTGTCCGTATGTCCTGCTGCAGCCCAGCTTGGCATAAGCAAAAGCATCTTTGGGGCTTGTTCAGGGGGCTCTAGTGGAAAATAAAAGTCTTTTGAATCAAATTAGGGTTCTTCACTATTAAGAAAAAGCGAGTCCTTCAGGGGGGCGAGCTCCGCTGGCCACGGGCAGGGGAGCTGCGAGCCCCGTGTGGCACCTCCAGTCACTGGCCCCACAGGCAGAAGGGCTGCATTGCACTTCAGAAGGAAACAAGGAGAGGTGAGAGGCACTGGCAGCATCATTGATTAATTCTCTCATAAAAACAGCCCTTCTGATTCCTGCTGTACTAGAGGAGGGACTGTAAAATCCAAAATTCTTCCCAGACCATCACTGGCGTGAGCACAGTACCGCCCAGGCCAAGTTCTGTAACAGGCAACTTTTCTTACAGTCAGGAGGCCATGGACATTAAAAAAGTGTAGGAAGCAGCTGGGGGCCTTGGCTGGGTCAGCCCTGGGCTGCTGCCACCCCAGCACTGCCACCCAGACAGTTATTCCTGACCACTGGAATGAGATTACCCAACCCAACTGTTTTTACATTTCCACCTTCCCAGGTGAGTGACAGTCCCTTCCCCTCCCCAGCCTGCACCAGGACCAGCCCAGCGCAGGCAGCTCCGTTCCAGCTCCAGAGCAGAGAGGGGAGATGGAGAAAAGCTCCTCGGATCCTTAGACCGAGATGTCCTTCTGCAGTTCTAACCCCACTGGGATATTTGGCTCTGTCCTTTCCCCCCTCTCACCCCAGCTGGCTGGATCTGCCTCCTGCTACTGATAGGAAAGGGATCAGCACTTACAGCAAGTGTACCCACAGTGGGGCTGCCACATCGTTATCCATCGAAAACAAGTGGGGAAGGGAAAGCAAAAACACTGAGCAGCTGCACTTTGGTCTCTTCTTTTACCTCCTCCCAGAAGGGCCCTCTCCCACAGTTCACTGACCTGTTCTAAAGGAATTGGGCACAAAGGCAAAGCGAGCGGGAAATCAGCGCCCAAAATCCTGCCCCGCCACCTTCGCAGCCCTGGGAAGCCTGGGAGCCTCCTGGGGGCACGGGGACAGCCCTGGCCACAGCAGCTGAAGGCTGGTTTTCTGCTACCGAAGAAACAAGACAGACGTGTGACACACAGATCACCCCCGGCGGGGCCCAGGGGCTGCCAGGGGGGCTCCCGAGGCAGAGCCCGCCCGGGCCACAGGGGTGACATTGGCACTTGTCAGCGCGGAGCTGGGGTGGGAGGGGAGGCAGGCAGGGGCCCGGGGGGGTCACCCAACAGCCCCTGCCCTGCCGTGCCAAGGCCTCACGGTACCGGAGCACCTTCATCGCCCGGCGGAGCCGCTCCAGTCCCGCTTGGTTCAATAAATAAGGTACAGCAGGACAGCCGTGACTCAGTTCCGCAGGCGCTTGTGTTTATACATTTTCCTCATGTCCCTGGCCAGAGGACACACCTCCCCTGGTCAGCCTGGTTTGAAAAAAAAAGAAACCTGTCCCTTTCTGCAGCGTTTCCCTGAGCCTCCCCGTGGCGCAGCGGGCGCAGCCGAGACACAAAGGGCAGTTGGCAGCTCCGGTTTCCTCCTCCGCGGCACCGGGCAGGGGGAGCGCGGGCAGCTCTTACGTGGAGGAAGGAGAGTCCATTGTGGAGAGGATCCGCACGACCTCGGCTCGCTGGGTGGGTGATATGTGCTGGGTCATGTGCACTATGGAATCCATGGCAACCTCCGGATTGGCCTGGACCAGGCTGGGGAGAGGAGGGAGGTGAGTGATGATGGCAGCCCTGGCACCTCCAGAGCATCCAACGGCTCTGTCAGGCTGGGGGGGCTGTGGGAGATGGGACACAGCACTGGGTGAGCTGTGAGAGCCGAGCTCTGCTCCTTCCAGCCACTTCCCTGGCTGGTGGCAGACACACGGGACTGGAATCCCGAGAGTCCAGAGTGTGCGGACCCTGGGACATGGGAGGGCAGGAGCTCTGGAGTGAGCCCTGACCCCACCAGCAGCACTTGCCAAGGGCACCCACGTTCCCCCTCCCAGGTGATTTCCAACATCCCTGTTCCCAGGGCAGCCCTCACCTCCGGATCTGCTTGAGGACATAATCCCTCGAGATGTACTTGATGTTCTCCTCCACGACCGAGCGAACCCCCTCTTCCTCCGTCAGCTGCTTCTCCAGCCACTCCACCAGGTCCTTGTTGCTGTCCCACAGATATGCCTGCCAAAATCCCACAGGGTCAGCCCCTGTCCCAGCCCCGGCCACCCCTGCCCGCTCCCCACGCACCAATCCCCAAATGCAGCCCCCTGGCAGCTGGGGGTGACACACCTGGCTGAGGATTCCCACTGAGTGGGGCTTCCACAAACACAACTAACAATTAGCAAAAATCCAAACTTTTTTTTTTTTGCCTCTCCTGCCATAAATGTGACGGAAAGGAACCAAGGAGGTGGTTCCTTGGCCAGTGCTGCAGCCGAACGAGCTGTATCAATCCCCTGGGATTGATGTCCCTGATAAATCCCAGTTTCCCTCGTGATCAGCTGCCCAAACTCAGGTGGGACACAGCTGACCCTGAAACGCAGCTGATCTGGGGCTTCTCCCAGTGCTAAACCCTCATGGGACTCCCCATCACCTCCAGACTGACCCAGTGCTGGTGTCCCCCAGCAATCACAGGATCCCCGATCCAGCCCCAGGGCCAAGCAGCCCCTCGGGCAGGTGTGAGCACAGCAGAGCAGCCCGGGGTGTCTGAAACCCTCAGCAACAACCCCCTTTTTGCCTTTTGCAAGATCATTTCACCTGATATTTGCTAGATAGTTGACTATGCAATAATTCAGGAGTGTGTGAGCCCCTAATAGCCTTCTCGCTCCTCTCCTCTCCTCTCCTCTCATTTTCTTTACAAATCATTTAAGAATCGTTTTGTTAATGGTTTCCGGAAAAGCAAGTACTGCCATTAGCACTCATTCATATTTATGTCATTTTATTTGGGTAATTAAACACAAAGCTCCTCATTTAAAGGTGCACTATCCTTCTCTGTTATCACTAACCAAGTCAAAGTCAGAATGACAATGAGCTGGGTGCCGTCATGCCGTGGTGGCACCTTCCTGGCACCCCCTGGAGCCCCCTCAGGCCCTCCCTGGCACCCACTGCTGCGCCAGTGGGCCACAGAATCATGGAATCACAGAATCATTAAGGTTGGAAAAGCCTCTAAGATCATCAGGTCCAACTGTTCCCCCCCCCCCCCCCGGATCTCCCCTCCTGTCAGGGAGTTGCAGAGCCAGAAGGTCCTCCCTGAGCCTCCTTTTCTCCAGGCTGAGCCCCCCCAGCTCCCTCAGCCTAATCAGAGCACCCCCTCACTGCCCACCCTTCATTTCTGTGTTTAATTAATAATTTCCCAAGTCCAGGAAACTTGTCTCCCTCTTCCCTGGGACTCCCAGGATCAGCTCCTTCCCAGAGCTGCTGAGGGTGTTGTTACACCCACAGGAGAGATTCCTGAGGAGTCATGGAATGGTTTGGGTTGGAAGGGACCTTAAAGCCCATCCAGTCCCACCCCTGCCATGGGCAGGGACACCTCCCACTATCCCAGGTTGCTCCAGCCTGGCCTGGGACACTTCCAGGGATCCAGGGGCAGCCACAGCTTCTCTGGGCACCCTGTGCCAGGGCCTGCCCACCCTCCCAGGGAGGAATTCCTTCCTGCCCCAGGTGCAGGGCCCATCCCAGCCCTGGACACACTTCAGTAAAAACCAGGATGATTTTATTCTCTTGAACACTGCCTCAAACCAGTGATGTC